TGATTAGTTAACTGAAACACTTTTTAAGAGACAGAGAAAAATCAGGATACATCATTCTTTTCCTTTAACTCTTAACTTGTGTAAATAGAGTGAAGGGGAATAATGCATCTAATCAAAAGCTCAAATACTGTTTCACATGCAGCACTCTGTGAGGCCAGTAATAACTCAATGAAGAGAGACTGAATTCGACCCTGAACTTGCCAACAGCTTACACCATAAAGAAAGGCTGATCCCATACTTATGAAATTAACACACTGACAAGAGCATCTAATCTCATACAGTAATGTGCTCCACACTAAATCAGTGACTGGTTTGGAATCACTTCATAGGAGATTAGCCTACCCACATACTGTTTCAAGCCAGTACTACTGACGTGCTGGACTGCACTGGCCTCTTATAGGATCCCAATGAAAAGAAGGCTGCAGCTGCTTATGACTTCCCCAAATGACCTTCCCATTGCCAGGAAGCCTCTTGTTAACATCTGCTGGTGCGGAAGCCAGCACAGACTTCAGATGGATGCAGCCCATCATGACAGAGTTCCCCTTTTTGGCCTAGCGTTTGTTCTACCAGAACAGAACACAGCTCCATCAAGTCAATCTTGCTCTCTCTAACTGAAGCCCGTGCATGATCTTTCACAGTATAAAATAAAATTTTGTATCACCTAACCAGTCATGCACTGCTGAATGTATAAGGGATGGAGCTGGCTTCTTTCTGTCCCTTGGGGTGATCAGCTGGCATTTGATTAACCTTGAAATCAAACATGCAGTAATAAAATAACCAAGCTGAACATGCTGGCAGGGAGTGGGGAAAGAAGCAGCATGGAGAAAGTTGCTTTATTTGTTTGGTAGCCAATCCATGTTGCTAGGTGGCAGAGAGAATCAGGCAGAGTCATGACTGGCAGCAGGAAAACAAATTCAGTGTATGCTGGTAGCAAAGGGTAAAAAATATTTAGGGTAGGAAGGCTGTGGAACAGAATGAAAGGAAAGGAAAAACAGAAGACTTCATTGCTACTGCAGTCCACAAAAAATAACTCTACATTTTTTAGTCAAATAGACACACTTAGTTTCATGCTTCTTTCAACCCAGGACACACAAGAGCAGAGTGTTAATTCAGATGAAATAAGAATAGATGTTCTTAGAGTGCAGATACAGGAAGGAACAACTCCTACCCCACCCCTGTATCATCGGGGAATTGTACAGTGATTGGCAAGGTACTCTGCATCATCTTTAACTCTCAGTGGTTAAGATACTGCATGCTAGAAATCTTCTAAACCATATTCTCATACCTGGAACTCACCACATTATAAGATGCAAAATTCAGCACAGGTTCCCCAAAATATTCACTGAATCAATCTGTAAAGCTGCAACTAAGTTAGTTTAGGATGGCTTCTGGTTTCACACTGAAACAAGGAACACTTCAGCTATTTTGACAAGAAGTGCATCCACCGCACAAGTCTTCAAATAAAGTTCCAAGATGGAAGCAAGCTTTGCAGGAAGCTTCCATCTTCACAATGGGCTAAACAATCCAACTTCTTTTTCCCAGCACATGAGCTTGTGAGCAGTTTCACATACTGTAAGATGGTCTGATTACCTTTGCAATTCTGGACGATGGCTAGTTCCAACTGCATCTTGCTTTGAGGGTTTTTCTGTTTTGGGGGGTTTTTTTTTAATCATAGAATCATAGAAGTAGGGTCGGAAGGGACCTTGTAGATCTTCAAGTCCGACCCCCCGCCTGGGCGGGAGAAAAGACTGGACTCAAATGAGTCCAGCCAGGTAGTCATCAAGCCTCTTCTTAAAGATCCCCAGGGTAGGAGCCAGCACCACTTCCCTAGGAAGTTGGTTCCAGCTCCTAGCCGCCCTAACTGTGAAGCAGTTCTTGCGGATGTCTAATCTAAACCTACTCTCTAATAATTTGTGTCCATTGTTCCTTGTCATGCCAGGGGGCGCTAGGGGAAACAGCGTCTCCCCTAAACCCTTCTGGTCCCCCCTAGTGAGTTTATAGACAGTCACCAGGTCCCCCCTCAGCCTTCTCTTGTGAAGTCTGAACAGGTTTAGGTCCCGCAGTCTTTCAATGTAGGGTCTGCCCTGTAGTCCCCGGATCATGCGGGTGGCCCTCCTCTGGACCTTCTCAATGCTGTCCACATCCCTCCTGAAATGGGGTGCACAGAACTGGATGCAGTACTCCAGCTGTGGCCTGACTAGCGTCGCATAGAGGGGGAGGACACCTCCCTGGCTCTACTTGAGATGCACCTGTGGATGCACAACAAGGTCCGGTTAGCCCTGCCAACCATGACCTCGCATTGTCGGCCCATGTTCATCTTGGAGTCAATAATAACTCCTCCAAACTCAATTACTAGAAAAATCACATGAATTTACAACAGAAAATATAGTTACTGCTGCTTTTATGGGTTGAACCAGCTGTTTTTAATGGTTCTCAAGTGCTCCCAACTGTGTAAAATATACTCCAAAGAAAGAACACCTGAAGTCACCAAGTTTCTACTGAACACCCAATTACAACCCAGCAGCAACAAGCATAATGCAAAATGACCTTTGCTCCTAGGGCTGCTAAATCTCTAATGAGTCTCACTGGGAAGTTATGCTCTACTGGGAACTTCTATCCAGCATGCTTGTCTGAAAATGGCCCTTTAAATTTGGTAAAGACAATGAGTATTATCCCAATAAAGCTATTTCATACCTAGATGCTACCTCTTTCTTCCTCTAGCCAATATGTTATTGCATCCTCTGAATGTTTTTCTCTTCTCACTGCTGAGGGGCTGGCACATTCTCAGCACTTGAATTTTCACATGAGAGACCAAATCTTGCTTGCTGAACTTATATGAATGGTCACATTGAAGCCAGCAAGGTGAACAAGACTTGACATTACAGCTTGACTGTCATGTGATATCAAAGAGATCCAGACCAACACAAGATGGGGAGGTGGGTGGGAAACCACTGAATGCAACAGAAAAGAGAGACGGGTTTATTTTTAATCCCATCATTCATTTCACGTGCTGCGTTGTTTGCATAGCTTCTAAAGCTGCTGCTAGAGCAGCAAGTTACACTGTATTTTTTACAGCTACTATCAATGTCACTGGCCTGGGTGTAATCCCCCAAAATTTAACTATTACGTAATCATTAACAAACATCAGTTGTTTGACTGGGCCACATTATTATGAGTAAAATCTCCCTCCTATTAAGTGTTGGCCTAAATTTTCAGAAGTGTCTAATGATTTCAGATGCTTCTTTCTGGGCACCCAACCTGAAAGGCTTTCAGGTGTTATGATTGTTCACTCATCCACTGGTGAACATCCACTCAGGTCCCTTTGAACTGAGTCAAGCCAGTTATTCAAAAAAATGTAGCACCCCAAATCAGCAGAAAATCTCATCTGCATAATTGATATGTATTCTGTCTATTGTAGTGACATCAAGACTCCCAGACAAAAATTAGGGCTCTGTTCAAGCAAACACCCAAGACAATAAGTGATGGACAGTATATATCCCAGATTGGCAGACAAAGGGCTAATGGAAGCTCAATTAGCTTCGCGGCTGCATCTAGGGGGCAAGTCAGGGAGCTGAGTTATTGGGCATAGCTGTGAGGGAGTTAACTGCCTCAGAAGGGGGTCAGAATATCTCAGTGGGGTGAAGGCACAGGCCTAGGCCTAGGTCAATTTGTTGCACAATGGCAGTGAGCCTGGTTACATTGGGAACTGCAAGACATGCTCTCCACCACCACCACCACCAATGGCTGGAGAGCCACTAAGGGAACAACTACATTCTTGGGGCCACAATGACAAAATAGGAACAGGAGAACAGGTTAATGACCAGGGGGCCAAAGGAGGACACCAAGCAAAGAATTCTAGCTGCCACCACCACCAAGGGTTCCGCCCTTGAAGAAGAGGAGGTCTGAAGCCTTACTGAGTGAGACTGAGAAGCAAGAGGTGTCCAGGAAGCTCAGGTCTGATATGGATACATGTTTGGTTGGGTGATGGGTTAGGTTTGGCTGGGTTGGGTGTTCCCTCAGCCCTGCTGGTAGACTCCAGGGAAAACCCCCATTTTTTTTTTTTTTTTTAACTCCAAAAAGAAAAGTGGAATTGAAGAGGCACCCAGGAAGGAAAGCTGTGGCATGGAGGCCTGGTACTGCTTGGGAATCTGTTTGCATGGGATGTCTGAAAACGATGAAAATCTATAATGCTGAATGAGGAAGGGGGGGGATGACCCAAGCAGTGGGTCTCTACCATACAGTCCCTGTCCAAAGAGCTTATAGTGCTTAAGAAGTATAGCTGCACTTCAGACTGAGCCCGCTGGTGGACCTGAAGCAGCAGGTCAGAAGCATTTACCTCCTAGGCAAACCGTTGTTTCATACAAGCCAGAGCATTCTCCCATAAGAGGAGAATACTTCAAAAACATCACTTGTGACATTCTTTAATAAGGGAAGGGAGGCAGGGGAATCTGAAGCAGGGTTAGATACCAGATAAGGTATGCCCCTGCTGCAGGTCTGCCACTTTATTTTTTTTGTGGCACTCAGTCAATGCAGGCTATGCAGTTTTGAGAATCCAGACTTTGATGCAGTAAGTAATGTTTGACAGAACCTCATCCAACCCCTTATGGTTTGCCTCAATCCCCTCACAATTTAAAGGCAAGAAGTGAATCTTGTATTATGACAAAAAACAGATGCACATGGTATTAAAAGAGAACCTCTGTGTATATACAACTCAGAAATGAAAGTTAATTCCCTTTCAAGCTGCCACATCTTTTGCCACAGCCATGGGTATTTTTTATAATCCAAGCTTTGAAAGAGGAGGAGAATATGCTTCATGAAGTTTTATAAGCTCGGCTTCCTTCCTGCTATTTTTTATACCAGCACAGTGTGACAAGCTCCATTCTTGCCTGATCCGCACCCCAGATCTTAAAATATATCCACATTACAATGCATGACACACGCACCCTCTCCCACCCCCCCACCCTCCCAAAGGAGGCTTATTTAAATGTCTTGTTACTTACTTGTCACAAAGGGAGTTGACGGAGCCTTTGGAACTACAGCCACACAGACGGCAGAGCCCACTAGTTTGATTCAGGTAATACCCCTCCTTGCAGCTGTCACAAAACAGACCTGTGTAGCCCTCGTGACACTCACACTGTCCTGTTGAGGTGTTGCACTCATTCACGCTTACACTCCCGACAGCACTGCAGTTACACAGATAGCCTGCAAAAGGAAAGAGAATGTGAAACTAACATGCTCTGGTCATAAAATGAAGTATGACTATTAAAAATATCTTAACTATTCCTATGTTGCCAGGAGTAAACCTGTTCAGACTGGCATCCTAGTTCTGTGTGTATAGCTTTAAAATGGGATTGGGCAACTCATACACAGTGCAGGACCAGAAGCCATGGTCTAAACTCATGAGATTGGCTTTAAAAATCTGAATAGTTGTGAGCGCCTCACAGTTATTAATGGATTTCTCTTCCTAACACTCCTATAAGATGAGGCAGTATTATCTCCATTTTATGGATGGGAACAGAGCGCTGAATTCCCAGAATAAGGACCTAAGTATCCAAAAAGAGAAGCACACTGCTTGCTGAACTCTTCTTCAATCCTTGTTGTAAGTGTCACAACGAGAGCTGCTTGATACCGCAAGTTTCAATCCCTGGTGCTTATTCTGGTACCTGCACAAAAGCTGGGCACCTAAGAGTCTAGCCCTAAATGACCTGCCCCTAGTCAAACTGGAAAACTGAACAAATATCTGCTAAGACGCAATCCACTGCTGTAAATACAGTCCTTCCTCTTATTAACTAAAATATAAAACAGCCAATTTTAACCTGGGTGTCAACAGACATAAGTTCACTGCAGCCACTCGAATTACAGCAGCACTGTCATCTTATCCGGCTAGACCCATATGCACACAGCTCCCACTAACTTTGGTGGAACTTCTTCACTTTGGAACATTTCTAGACTGAGGCCAAAAAAAAGATCATACTTCCTGGTTGGAAATATTCAGTCCATACAGACATCAGTCCCTATAAATCTTTAAAAGTGTTTACTGTAAAAAGAAAAGAAAAATTAGCCCCAGCAATTTTTTTAACCGACATCATTATTTTAGCTCCCTTTCTTTATTGGAAAATATTTGATGCTTAATAATTCAAAGTATTTATCTGCCAAGACTGAATTAAATATAAGGTTTGTTTTCAACCATGGTAAATTGATTTGCAAGGGATTTAAGGAGTTCTGGATTATTATTTAATATTTATTGGGAGCAGCAGGTGTGTTTGACACTGTACAAACAGAGGAAGATGCCTTAGCTTCTTGTCTCAGGAACCTGAAGCTTACTGGAACTTGGCCAGAGTAAGGAGTGCTCAAGAGAACATACTTTTAATGATATACTTCATTATTAGTATTTTACAATGTTATTGCACACTTAGGCCTCAATCCAACAGTTTGCCCCTATTCAACAAAGCACTTAAGCATGTATTTAGCTTTAGGCACATGCTTCAATCCTGTGGACTTCACTGTAACTTGATCTAACTAGCCACATACATAAATGACGTGCTGAATTAGGAAGGATTTAAACATGTATTTATAAATTTTGTTGACAGGAGACTTTCCTGAGGACCTCAACATACCTTTAGAAATAACAGCAGTAAGTTTATCCATTTCACAGATGAATTTACCCATTTATCCATTTTGTGATGGCTCCTCTTGAAATATTTATAGGATGTGAATTATAGATCTATTTGCCTAATAAGCTATAAAAGTTCAAACAAATTTCTGGTACATTTTAGACTCAGTGTACAAAGAACAAAAGCATCTAAAAATTCTTCTCCAAAAAGAACCATTGAGAGTCTTCTATAACCTGAATATCCAGACTGTTACACTGCCAAAACTATGGTCATTAGAACATCATGCTACTCATTTACACCCTTGCCAGGTTTTGGCAATTTGGGATGGGTTTGAGGTTGTTTTGTTTTTTGCTTCTTTTCGTTTTGGTTTGGGGGG